CCAGCAGGGAGGTGGGATCAGCGGGGGGCAAGGGCAGCCAGGGATAAAGGGAAAGAACCCCCCGGGGGTGGTGCTGCAGCCCCCCACGGCCACCCAGCACCTCGGCCCACTGACCTACTTGGAGCATCGCTGAGCCAGGGAGTGTGGGCAGGGGATGCAGGCAGGAATGGGGATGGAGAACGGGATGGGGATGCAGGAAGCGACAGGGATGCAGGGAGGGATGGGAATGGAGAACGGGATGGGGATGCAGGCAGGGATGGGGATGCAGGAAGAGACAGGGCTACAGGCAGGGATGGGGATGCAGGCAGGGATGGGGATGCAGGAAGGGACAGGGATGCAGGCAGGGACAGGGATACAGGCAGGGATGGAGATGCAGGCAGGGACGGGGATACAGGCAGGGACAGGGATACAGGCAGGGATGGGGATGCAGGCAGGGATGGAGATACCACACTCCAGCCAAGGGGTCCCACCCCACGGGCACCCCCAACCTGTGCCCGGGCCACAGCAGGGCCCAACCCGGCCGTGACTCCCCCCCCAGACCCTGAGGAAGTCACTAATTGCTCGGGGCACCCCTCGGGGTGCGGGATGAGACCGAACGTCCCTTCCCCGGCAGCTCTGCTGGCCGCGGCTCCAATTAGCCTCGTTATGCAGCGTCGCCGCTGATTAGGGGCCGGGTAATTGCCGCGGCGTCGGGTGTCCCTCAGCGCCACACGGCAGCAGCCATTGCATAAGCACCGGGTGGGCGTTACGTGAGCGGCAGCGGGTCAGGCCAGCCCGGGGGCTCCGCTTACAACCCGGCCCCGCTGCCCCCCGGCCCCGCCTGGGCACCGGGACTCGGGGGTGCCCCCCAGTGCTGCCTCGGTTTCCCCCTTCTCTGTGCTCTGCTTTGTGCTTGCAGCGTGCCTGAGTGGCACCCGCCCTGCCCCCCGGCCCCACAACCCCACACCACGTCCCCACGACCCTGCAGCCTCTCAACCCCAAGACCACACGGCCCCACACCACAGCCCCACAGCCCCACAACCCCACAGCCCGTGGCAGCCTTTGCACAAGCGGTGCTGTGACACGGTGACTCAACGCCGCTGTGGCAGTGCCACGTGCCCGGCACCATTCCCCATCCCACTGGCTGCCAGGACCGGCACAGGCGGCAAAGCCTCGTCTCGTCCCCAAGGTCTGAGGGCGCAGGCCCTGCCTGGCACAGCCAGGGCACCCTCGTCCTGCCCTGCTCATCCTGCTCGGACAGTGGGGTTGGCAGGGAGGGTGACACCGATGCCATGGAGAGGACAAAGCAGTGGGACCCTGTCCCTGATTGGAGGGGGGGGCTCTGTGGTGTTGCCCCCACAGCCAGGGGGCCACAATAAGGCTGCAGGTGCCACAACCCCTCTGCCCCCCCTGCCCACACCCAGCCCTCGGGCTGAGGGACAGGACTCCTGCCCAGCCCTGGGTCTGGGGGCTGCCATGGGGCACATCCCCACGCTGGCACCTGAGGAGCAGATCTGGGGACACCAGAGCTGTGCCCCTTGCCCGTGGGTTCACCCCGTGACCCGCTCCCCGCTGGGCAGGTCGGCATTCCCGACGGGAAACTGAGTCACGGCGAGGAGCAGAGCCTGGCAGTGCCCACAGCAGGGAGCCCCTGGCAGGGCCACCACAGGGCCGGCTGTGCCAGCCCAGGGACCACCGAGCACGGGGCACAGCCCCGGTGGGGGCTCAGGGGTCCCCGTGGGGGGTGAGGGGCTGTGAGTGCAGGGCGGGTGATGCTGGTGGAGGGTTCCCCTCTCGCTGGGTGGGGCGTGAGCGGGAGCAAACAGTGATTAACGAGTGATGGTGTCATCCCGAATTCCTGCTCTGCTGGCCTCCAGGCCAGCCACAGGGGCCGACTGGGCCGATCCTGGTGATGGAGTCGTGCCAGCGATGCCAACTTCAACGTCTGGCAGTGCCCTGGCCCTGACCACAGAGAGATGGTGGTGAAGCTGGGCCAGGGAGGGGGAGGAGGAGGAGAAGGGCTGGATGGTGGAGAGTGGCAGTTTTCGCTTCTTTATCTCTTCCCAGTGGCCAAGTCCTGCCCGTGCCGCTGATGCCCAGGGCTGCTGGTGCCACCTGTGATGGGCTGGATCCAGCCCCGCTGGACCCATCCCCCAGCACTGCCTCGAGGGGTGCAGCTCCTGGCACTGAATCAGGGTCTGGCAGCACCCATGGCAGGATTGGTCCCTCCATTCCTGCTGCTTCCCGTCCCTGGGAATGGTGCTGGGTGGGTCCTGGGGTGAGGGGCTGTGAGCAGAGCAGCACCAGCTCCCACAGCAGCGTGGGGAGGGGGAGATGGTTTGTAGGGGGATGTTCAGTGACCTCCAGTGCTGCCACAGCCAAAACAGCCCTGGGCAAGGGGAGGGGAGGTCATTCCTCTGTCAGGAGCAAATGCTGCTCCAGGGGCTCAACAACCAGCGAACTGGCTCCTCCTCGTTCTGGCTTTGGTGGCATCAGGACCCCAATTTAAACGTGGATGAGTCTGTGGGGTGAGACCCCGCTCACGAGAAGAGGGGTCCTGCTCTTCTGTAGCCTCTCCACCTCCCTCCCGTGGCCCCAAACCCGCGGGGCCGGGTCCCAGAGCTGCAGCACCCAGTACTTGCTGGGATGCATCTGCAGCATCTCCTGCTCCCCCGGGGCTCCCCCCGGGTCGTGCCGACACACGCGTGTGCTGGTCCGGGCCCCGCACTCGAAGGGTTAAGGGGCCGGCGGCGGGAGCGGTGCGTGGATGGGTGCGTGGGTCCCGCGTTGCTCACGGCAGGTGTGGTGCCGCTTATGTAACCCCATACTTTTGGGTTGCGCCGAGCGCTCGGGGGGTATTTTCGCTCTCGCTCCGGCGCGATTCGGCCGCGACTGTCCCAACAGCGGCAATCGGCGACCGCCTTTTTTGGGAGGGGCGAGTTGGCCGGGGCCGGACCCCGCGTGCCACGAGGAGTCACCGCGTTGCTCCCGGTCTCAGTTTCCCCATCTGAAACGGGGCTAATGAGGGTGACCTCCTTCGGGCAGCTCCCGTGACCCCCGGGGACGGCAGCGGGGCTGCCCCTGCCCTGGACGTGCCGGGGTGGGATTCCTGGCTCCATCCGGGGCTGCGCTCGCAGGAGCCGCTCTGGAAGCGCAGCCTGTAACGAGCCGTCGCCCCGCGTCCCGTCTGCGTGCCCATCCATGCGGAGCGCGGCGGGAGGAGGGAGGGAAAGCCGGGAGGAAGGAGCGAATCCGACCGGCGAGAGCAGCGAACCCGTTCCCAATCGCCATCAGCGAAATCGTGTCAGACAGCAGCGCTGGAGCGCGGCGGGCGGCCCGGCCCCCTCCGCCCCCTCCACTCCCCAGCCCGTGTCCCCCTCCCCGGCACAGCGCGGGGGGCAGAGCGAGGTGGTAACACGGGTGGGAGCACACAGAGTGCCACCACTGCTCAGCCCCGGCACCAGAGCAGGGGGACAGCTCCGGGAGCGGCGGGGGAGCCTCCGAGCATCCCTGCACTCCCCGCTCAGCCCAGGCTTTGGGATGCGTGTGGGCTGAAATCACCCTCCTCAGCTGCCATTAAATGGTTTAGTTGGAGGGTCTGGGGGCTGAGGTGCCCCCTCAGGGCCAAGCTGTGAGGGCGGGGGGGGGGGGGGGGGGAGGAGGCAGCGATGGCACGTGTGTGGTGATGGTGGTTGCATCTGTGTCCGTGGTGGGTGTCACCTCCGTGCCCGTGGCTGATGCGGTGGCCAGGGCCATGCCACGCTGCTGGCCACGGCTGGTGCCACGCTCGTGCCCATGGGGATGCCACATTCCATGGCTGATGGCTGTGGTGGATGCCAGGTCCATGTCCATGATGGGTGCCGGGTCCACACCCCTGGTGGATGGCACGTTTGTGCCCGTGGTAGATCCCACATCCACACTCACAGATACCAGATCCACGTCCATGGTGGATACTGTGTTCATGCCCACGGGAGATGCCCTCTCTGCACACAGCAGGTCTCCAGGCCAGTGCCACTGTCCCCAGGGCCCAGGTGTCCCCAGGCACTGCTGCATCCCTGGCACCTGAGCCCTGGCCCAGCGTGACGGGGACCAGGCACCTCCACCCCGTGATGTGGCACCAGGGAGGACTCTGGTGACCTGGCGCACGAGTCACACCACAAACCCCAGCCAGGGGACTTTGCCCCGTGCCGACACCTCCGGCCCTGCACCGCCAGGCTGCTTTGCGTGGCCTGGAGCCACCCCACGGCCACCATCCCGGGTGGGGTCAAGGGCCACCATCACTTTAGCCCCCTCATCCGGGGCACAACCTGGAGCCCCAAAGCCACCTGTGTGCATCCCAGCACGAAGGGCAGGGTGGGAATGCCTCGCTGCCACCTCCAAAGCTTCCCAGTGCTTCCACAGCCCCCTTCCCGACCCGCAGGTCCCCCAGAATGTCCCCTCGGACCTGAGCATCTGCACCCTGGTGTGGGTACATGGGGCGGCTGCACGGGGGTCCCGGCGCTCCCCACACACCCCCTCCCCTCCCAAGCGCCGGCTGCTGCACCTTGGGCAGACCCCCCACCCATCTATCTGGGGGGTTGCGGGGCCGAGCGGGAGCGGAGTGAGGCAAGGGAGCGGTGATTCAGCGGCACACGCAGCCGGCCCCGTGCCTGGGCGAGCCGGGGCAGGACGGGCACCGGCACGGCCCTCCCGGGGGCGGGCAGCGCCGGGGGGCAGCGCCGGGCACCCCCGCGGCCGCGGCCGGGCGGGGGTCTCGCAGACCCCGGTCCGGGGGAGGCGCCGGCAGCGGCCGCGCAGCGCCGAGCGCCGGAGCGGCGGGGATGGGGATGGAGGAGGAGGAGGAGGACGAAGGGCAGGAGGTGGGGCTGGAAGTGAAACCGATTTGGGGGGGCGGGGCGGGCTCGTCATGTGAACGGCCGCATGCTCGGGCAGAAGTGGGTCACGGCGCGGCGGAGGGGCAGGTGCCAGAGCCGCCCGGTGCCGCCCGGTGCTTCCCGGTGCCGCCCGGTGCCTCCCGGTGCCCGCGCTCCCCGCCGCGCCCCGCGCCGCTCCGGACCCCCGCGCCCCCCCATGCGCCCCCCGGCGCCCTGACCGCGGCGGACACGATGCGAGGTGGGTCCGGGGGGGCTCGGGGCGCGGGGGGACCGGAGCGCGCGGCCCCGGGGGCAGCGGCACAAGTTGGCCCCGGTGGGGGACGGGGGGACCCGCAACAGCCCCGCAGAGGGGGACGGGGGGGACCCGACGTCAGCCGGGACGGGGGGACGGGAGGACCCGCATCAACCCCGCCGGTGGGGGGACGGGGGTCCCGCGGCGGCCCCGCGGAGGGGGACAGGAGAGATTCGGCGGCAGAGCGGACAGGGACAAGGGGGGACCCCGTCAGCCTCGCTGGAGAGGGACAAGGGGGGACCCGCACGAGCCCCGCGGAGGGGGATGGGAGGGACCCCGCACCAGCCCCAACGGGGACACGGGAGAGACCCGCATCAGCTCCGCTGCAACGGGACAAGGGGGGACTTGCACCAGCTGCGCGGAGGGGGACCAGGAGAGAACCCTCACCAAACCGCTCTGCCTCCTCCAGCTCCCCCTCCGTTAGGAATAAAATTCTTGTTTATTTTGCTTCGCTTTCCGACGCCGGCTTAGACCCGCTCTTAAGCTTTTCCTCGCACTAAACCCCTTAATCTCCTCTTCAATATGTTGCTCCCACCAGGGCTGGATTTATTGTGGGTTTTTTCCCCCCTTTTCCCCCTCCCCACGGCGCGGGGGGCAGTTTGGGAGGCGCCTGCGAAGGCGGTCAAGGGACCTGGGTGCAATTTTGGGTGCCCCTTGTCCCGGTCAGGGGTGAGTCGCGCCAGCACCTGCCTGGTTTTTTTTCCCGTTATGAAAGACAATTCCTACTTGTCACCCCTCTGCTTTGCCAATCAGGCGGTGGGGAGGAGGAGGATGGAGGGAGGAAGGCTCCAGCGGGACGATCCACCGGGGCCTGGTGGTGGTGACGCAGCGGTGCCCGGACCCAGCTCTGTTCCTACAGGGCTGCTGGGACATCATTCCCTGGGCTGGGGTTGCCATCCCCGCTTCAGAACCACCCCAGGACTCGGTGGAGCCCCTCCATAGGTGTGGTTTGGGGGTGTGTTTTGGGGTGTAGGTGCCAGGACATCCTCGGGCTCCTCAGACCCCGTTTCCTGCGGGTGCTGCGGCTCCGCCACCGCCGCACTCTTGTGTAACGGTGGGGCCGGGGTGGGTGAGGGCGAGGTGAGCCCCCCACATCCCTCTCCTCACCCCATGGCACCCCGGGATTTCACCTTTACTAGTGAGGAGGGAAGCATTAACGCCTGCCTAATTGCCCACACGCCTGGCTCTTACGTAGCCCTTGCACAGCCGGCACCGGTCTAATTAGCAACTGGGCAAACTTTTCCTTTTTTTATATATATTTTTTTCCCTTTCCCCCCTCCCCATTTACTGCGTGCTGACCCTAATTTAGGGGCCAAACCCCCCTGATATCCCACAGTTTCCCCCAGCGAGGCGTTTTTCCCGCAGTCCTGCGTCCTCATCTCTCGAAGCCCGAATGCCGCATGGCGACGCCAAATTGACTCAATCTCCATTTTCCTCCCCAAAACCGCCCCTGCTCTGCCCCGTTCCCCGGGGGGCCACGGCAGCTCCTCTCCCCTGTCCCTTCCCTGCGCCGCGGCTGCGCCGGGGCCGGGGCAGAGGCTTTGCCTTGTATAATCCTATACGGTTTCCAGCCCTCCTGCTCACTTGTTTTGCAAGCAGCGTGGCGAGGAGCGTGCGGTGGCTCGGCAGCCTTTGCGACTTGTCCTAGTGACCTAGATCTGTCATTGGAAAAATCAGAGAGGGCGGAGGAGGAGCTTCCCTGCCCGTTTCGGCGGCGTGCACTCTGCTGGCGAGGCCGCCCTCGGCCGGCACCCACCGGCCCTCCCGGCACGACGGCTGCCCCTGTCCCCGGTACCGCGGGGTGGCTGTGCCTGTCACTTCCCAAAAAAATGAGCCTGGAGGAACAAGCTGTCCACTGGCTCTGTGGGGTCCTGAGCGGTCCAGACGTGATTTGGGGTCCTCGACCCCCCATAACCCCAGGGAGGGGCAGCGCCTGGAGGGTGAAGCTCAGTGATGGGGAGATGGTGGTCCCTGTCCCCAGGCTGTCCTCCTCCTCCCCCGTTCCCTCCTCCCTGTCACGTTTAACTTTGAACTCGGCTATTTAAGGAGCTGCTAATGTCTAAATCTCGCCCGGTTTACCGGATGTGGCGAGCAGAGCTGCTCTCCTGCCTTTATTTAGCCCCAGGGAGATAATTCCCCCCCAGATTTAGCCGCAGGGCTGGAGGGGTTCTCCCTCCGCAGCAGCCCGGTTCGTCCCCACCCCGGGCTGGCAGCAGGTCCCCCTCCCCGCCGCCTCACCTTTGCCATCCTTCTGCGCCAGCCAAAGTGCAAAGGGCTGCGTCCTGCGCCACCGGGGCTGGCCTTGGCACGGCGCTGCGTGGCACGGGAGCTGCTGAACCGGAGCGGCCGGGGCAGGGGCCGGGTGGCCGTGGGGGAGCCACATCGCCCACCCAAAGCTCCGACTTCCCGGCCGCAGACGTGCACTGCACCACGGGCAGGGAGAAACGGGGCCTGGCTGGGGACTGCGGTGCTTGCAGAGCCCCCCCGGGCCCCGTGGCCGTGAGGGAAGGTTGCCAAGGGTTGTCCTGGGGCGGAGTGAGAGCCAGCTGAGCCGTGTTCTGGCCCAAAGTTTCCAGGAAATCTTTGCTAATCAATGAGGAAACCAGTTCCCACCTCCATCACCCCGGCCTGGCTCAGGGCCGCAGTTGTGTCATCTAAATCTTCCTCACGGCCTGCACGGCCCGCGTGGTGCTGCTATCCCTGCTCCTGGAGCTGGGACTGGGAGAGTCCAGCAGGGACCTGGCTTCCCTGGGGTTCCCTGGGATGCACGGATGGGGGTGGGATTTGCCAGCAGCCATGGCCCCAATGCCAGGGTGCTGGAGGAGCCCAAGGTGCTGCAGCATGGGAGCCTGGTTAAAAGCAAAGCCATCAGCAGCTGTAATGGAGTGATAATTCCCTTTATTTCCTTATTTATTCCTACCCCACAGCCACGGCAGTTGGAGGCTGTGGAGAAGAGCAGTCGCTCCCGGGGTCAGAGGTTGCTGCAGGAAATGCAAGAGCAGAGCTGGGTTTTAGGGAAGGAACAGGTCCCTGTGTGTCCCTGTGCAGCCTGGACTCATCCCCTGCTCTGGGTGCACTGGGGGGGGGGATGCTGAACCCCCTGGGAGGGGAGAGGACAGTGGTGGTGAAGCCTGGGAGCATCCCAGTGCCCTTGGTGGGGCTGGGGGTGCCAGGGGGCTGCGGGGCTGCCGCTAATTACCAGAGATGCCCGCCCTGAGGCACCGATGGAGCGCAGCAGTGGGATGGGGCACGGACCTACTTTCCCAGCAGGCTTGCTGGGTAATGAGCTGGGGCACGGGGGAAGCCAGGGGGTCTTTGGGGCAGGGGTGGCCGTAGGGCCACGGAGCCACCTCTGAAGTTCATCCCCTGCCTCTGGCAAGGGGCACCATGGGCTCATGTGGCACCCCAAGGGAGGGGATGGCCGTATCCTGCCCCCAGCCCTGCGGGGTGAGGGGTGTGCAGCCTTGTCCTGGGGGACTGCACAGACAGAGACCTGCCAGTGCCCCCCAAAACACCCTCCCACCCAGGAATGCTCACGTCCAAGCTGGGGGCACCCAGAGGAGCTGCTGGGAGAGGGGGCAGCTCCAAAAAGCCTCCGGCAGCAGTACGGTCGCAGCACAGCCTGGGGCTCAGTGGGGTGCTGAGGGTTTTGGGGTGACTCCCCCACAGCAGGGAGATCGTGTGGCCAAGGGAAGGGATGGGGGAGGAGGAGGAGGAGGAGGATGGGGCCACCATCCTCTCTGCACCACAGAGGAGGGGTCCATGCCCTCGTAGCCGGATCCTGCAGGGCCTGCCTTGTTTTGTTTTGGGGTGCAGGAGGGATGCCCGCCCTCGGGGCGGAGGCGATGGAGAGGAGGGTGTGCCAGTGCAGAACCAAGGCCGAGTCCTGCTCCGGGGAGGGCGGCTCTGGCTCTGCCGAAACCACCAGAGCCTCCAGCCAGGCCTGGGCCAAGCACTGCTGGGCCAGAGGGGACACACAGCCAGGGCCAGGGGGTGACAGGGGACATGGGGGCCGCTCAGGGGCAGCCCCGTGTCCCCCACAGAGCACCGCAGCTCAGTACAGTAATCGCATGTCCCCAGGTGGAGGGATCACCCCAAAACGCCCCGAAACCCCCCCTCCCCGGGGGCGGGAGTTGAGGGTGACCCCTCCCTGGCCCCGTCTCGGGCGCGGGAAGGGTTAACGGCCGCGGTTACACAAGCGCGTGCGGCCGCGGGCACAAAAGTGTGTCAGTGGGACAGGATGGCTCCAACCGCGGGGCCACGCGCAGCCGCTGGACCGGGGGCCATCGCCCCGCCACGGCAGAGCCCCGCGGCCGGACCGTGCCCACGGGGCCACTTACGTAAGGGCCGGCCGGTGGCAGCGGGCCGGGAGTTGGGCAAGAAGTGTTTACAGTGGGAGGAGAGCAAATACCACCGCCGGGACATTTTAATTGCCGGCTGCGGATCGTTGTTATTTATTTTTTTAACCCTTTGGTTTTGGTTTTGGTTTGGGGTAATTTTTTTTTTCCTCCCCCCTCTCTGCTCCCTATCTTAGCCCCACTGGCCCCAGGGTAGAGTTTCCCTTCCTGCCCTCCCACCTAAAGGGAAGGGAAGGGGTTCTCCCCCACCTAAAGGACCCCCGTTTGCACAGCGTGGCTGATGCTCGCAGGGTCGTGGTGGGGGGAGGAGCCCGGTGCTCCCGTGGGGAGGGGAAGGGGGGCACAGCCGGGCTGTGGGGGCTGCTGTGAGCACAGTGAGATTTGGGGGATGCAGGGGGCTGCTGTGGCCACCCTGCCAGCACCCACATCCCTCCTCGTCCCGCTAGGTTCGCCTCAGAGGGGTGCTCAGGGATCCCACGGGAGATGGTCTGGCGGCCCCAGGGGTCCCGGGGGGGGCAGCGGCACGAGGGGACGCCGAGGGCGCCGACCCGGTGATTCAGCCCGGGCTGACGATCCGAGCAGCAATTAGGCGCCGTCCCGGGCGGTAATTGCCATCGCCGGGGTTACGGCCGCCGATCGACGTCAGTTATTTGGGGCGAACGTCTTACGAGCGGGTCAGGTGCCGGTGGCGGGCACGGCCGGGTAATTAGCAGGACGGTAATTAGAGCCCCAAAAGGCTGCGGGCACACGGTCGAAGTGCTTCTCCTTCGCCAGGAGGAGCCAGGGCGGCATCATCCCCGCACACCCTTTAGCTCTGGCTCCGGGGGGCTCTCGAGAGGGTCTCGGGGGGGGTCTCTTCCCTCCGTGGGTGCAGGGGCAGAGTTTGGCCACCGGTGTCACACGACGCATCAGCGTCCCTGAGAGCTCTGGTGGGTTTGGTGGGGCACACGGAGCGGCTCCCCCGGGCTCCGCCGGGTGGGTGCCGGTGGGTGCCAGGCCGAGCTCAGCCCGGTGCCGGTAATTCCGGGTACCGGGAGTATCGGCCGCGGGCGTGAGGGCGCGGCGCCCGCGATGCATCACCCGCGCTGCCGGCGGCTGCAATTAACGTTGCATAACGAGCCGACGCCGCTTCCTGCCGGGGGTGGCACCCCCTCCCTGTGCCCCCCGCCATGCCACCACCTCGCCGGCCCATCCGGGAGGTGCGACAGGGCTTGGGGCAGGGCGGCGGGGAGGGGAGGGGTCCCCGCCCTTTGCGGGTCACATCCCCTTTCCGGCGGGGTGGGTGAAGGACCCAGGGAACTGGAGGGTGTCTCGGTTCATGGGAGCTGGGTGGTGGTTTGGGGGTGGGCACACAGGGCCCTGTGGATGCCTCCATCTCCCTGCCAAAGGTGCCAGTGCAGTTGAGGGGGCTGTGAGGATGCCCTGGCCATCCCTGCCTGCTCCCTGCCCACTCCTGCCAGCTCTGCTGCCCCAGGTCCAGAACCACAGCAGAGGTGCAGGCAGCAGCTTCGGGGAGGGGCAGGGCTGGGATGTGGCCCCTTTGAGTCACAGCGGGGACATCACACAGCCCTGAGAGGCACCCAGTTCAGCAGCCTCGGGAAGGACGGGCAAACCCCCAAATCACCTGGTGCATCCGGGGCACGAGCCGAGCCCTGAGGCAATGGATGCAGGAGGGATCCATCTCCCACTCGCACCTGGGTGTGGAGTGTGGCTGGGAGCAAACCTCCCCCTGAGGGGTCAGTAATGGCAGGCCTGGGGAGGATCAAGGCCATCCCTGGGGGACTGAGCATCCTCAGGGTCCCAACTGCATCCCCGGGGGTACCAACTGCATCCCAGACATACCAGTTGCATCCCTGGGGGTACCAGTTGCATCCCTGAGGGATGGATAACCTCCAGGGAGGGCCGATGGCAGCCCTGGGGGACTGATGACACCTTGGCTGCCCCTGTGCCCAGCGAGGCTCCAGCGCCCCAGCCCAGCCTCCCCCACGTCACTGAGGGACCCCAGGACACCGCTGGGTGCTGGGGTGGAGGTGGCACTGGCCGAGCACTGGGACTGCCCCTCACAGAGACGGCCCACAGAACACACCCCCCTCTCCCAGAGCCGATGGCTCCCGGGGGAGGAGAGAGGCAGAAGGGAATTACCCGAGCGGGGGAGAGGGGGGCAGGGATTTGTACAGGCCCAGGAGATTGGAAATAACCATAATCTGGCCGTGGGGGTTATTTTGGCGCGGCGGCGCCTGCCCAGCACCCTCGAGAGCAGCGCCGGGCCGGGGGGTGCGGGGCTGCGGCGGGGATTAGAAGGTGCAGAGATGCCGGGAGGCACGTACGAGTCCCGGGAGTGCCCCCTGTGTGTGTCCCCCCCCCCACCGGCGCGTGTGGGGAGGGCAGAGCCAGCGCAGATCTGGGGCAGCTGGAAAATGAGGAGGACGAAGCCTATTAGCAGCTCAGTGCCAGCGAAGCAGAAGCGGGGAGGGAAGCGGATTTGCGGGGGGGGGGGGGGGGGGGGGGGGGGGGGGGGGGGGGGGGGGGGGGGGGGGGGGGGGGGGGGGGGGGGGGGGGGGCCGGGACCTTGAGCTGGGGATGGCTATATCGGTCCTGGGGGGATGGGGAGGGCCCACACCCTCTGTTTGGTCCAGCTCTGTGGTGGGAGAGCATCCACAGCTGCAGGGATGGGGATGGTCCCTGTGCAAAGGCTGTCCCTGTCCTGGGGCACACACCGGTTGAAAAATAAGGGGAATGATTCCAAACCGGGGTCCTGGGCGGGCCGGTGCACAAACACCCTGTGCTGTCCCAGCTCCAAGGGTTTTCCTGCTCTGCCTCGTGCTGCTGGAGGGGATGGGGGAGCAGATGGAGGAATCCCAAACCCTGTACGAGCCTTTTTGGGGACCTCTCTGAGGTGCAAGCATCCTTGCAGGGGCTGCAGGAAGGGCTGAGCTGCCAGTGGGTCCAGCTCTTGTGCCTCAGTTTCCCCAGGTGCTGTCGTGGGGGGGGGAGGGGTCCAGCTCCCTCATTCCTGCTGGGCCCTGACCACCATTAACCCCCGCGGTTCTCCCTCCTCCCCAGCCCAAATCGAGGTGATCCCGTGCAAGATCTGCGGAGACAAGTCCTCGGGGATCCACTACGGTGTCATCACCTGCGAGGGCTGCAAGGTGAGCCCCAGGGACCGCCGGCTGGGGGCGGCTGCGGGGGCCTGCCATTCCAGCCGGCCACTTTCCCAACCCATCCCGTCCCCGCGCAGGGTTTTTTCCGGAGGAGCCAGCAGAACAACGCCAGCTACTCCTGCTCCCGGCAGAGGAACTGCCTGATCGACCGCACCAACCGCAACCGCTGCCAGCACTGCCGCCTGCAGAAATGCCTGGCGCTGGGCATGTCCCGCGACGGTGAGTCGTGCCCCGGGGTCCCCAGGGGCCGCCTGCTCCTCCGCGGAGCCCGCCGGGCTGTCGGGATGAAGGTGCTCCCCCAGCAGGGCCGGCCCGGTGCGGGGAGGGTTTGGGAAGAGAGAAACACTTTCCCGTTTTCCGTGGGGGGGGGTCGGTTCGATCGGTTCTGTTCTGCTCCACCCACGGTTGGTCTGGGGCGAGGGGGGGGCGCATCCAGCGGGGTCCCTGCCCCTCTCGGGGCTCATTCAGCGGCTGGCCCTGGAGTCAGGACCCTCCCCGGGCGGGTGGGGGGTCCCGGTGTCACTCCGGGGTGGAGCTGCCCTGACGCAGCCGCGTCTCCCCCGGGGCAGCGGTGAAGTTCGGCCGCATGTCCAAGAAGCAGCGGGACAGCCTCTACGCCGAGGTGCAGAAGCACCAGCAGAGCCAGGAGCAGAGCGGGGGCACCAAGGATGAGCCCGAGCCCCTGAGCCGCGTCTACACCACGAGCGTGAGCAGCGGGCTCTCGGACCTGGACGACATCTCCACGCTGTCCGACGGGCTGCTCTTCGACTTCCCCCTCACCCCCGACGGCAGCAGCACCTACTACAACCTGGACCTGCTGGCCTCGGCACAGCCCTCGCCCGACCAGTCCAGCCTGGACGTGGCCGATGCCACGCTCATCAAGCAGGAGTCCATCTACGAGCTGATGCTGGAGCCGGCCCTGTTCGCCCACGGGGCGCTGGAGGGGGGGCAGCTGCCCCCCGACATCTCCGTGCTGGAGATCGGTGAGCGCTGGGGCGGTCCCAGAGGGATGTGGGGTCGTGCAGCCCTGGGGATGGTGCTCGGGGCCACCTCAGCGCCTCACAGGACACATCCAGGGCACACCCTGAAGGTGGAAGGTGCCCCTGGCCGTGGCAGGGGGGTGGAACGAGCTTCAGGGTGGATGAGATTTGAGGTCCCTCCCAACCCAGACCATTCTGGGATTTTATTGTATGACAGTGAGGGACTGACCCGGCCTCGGCCCTCAGGGCAACCCCAAGCCCGTCCCCTCCTCCAGGCCGAGCACGGGCGGAGCTCAGCCCACGTGAGACCGTGTGGAACATCCCCTGCTGTGCCCTGAGCACAGCCCCCACCACCCTGTCTGTGCTCACACCCCTCTAACACCGCACAAAGCCCCAGCCCCCAGCCCCAGCAGCCCCCCAGGACAGCCAGGAGAGGGGGGGGTGTGGGGACAGGGGGCTCACCAGCACTGTCCCCACCTCACAGACCGGGTGGCCCAGAACGTGGTGAAGTCGCACCTGGAGACGTGCCAGTACACGACGGAGGAGCTCAAGCGCCTGGCCTGGAGCCTCTACTCCCCCGAGGAGGTCCGTGCCCTGCAGAGCAAGGTGAGCACCCCTGCCACGGCCCCCACGGCCCCCCAGCACAGCCCTGGGTGGGGGGGGAAAGGTGAGGAAGGTCCTTGAGTGCTTTGGGAGCTGCAAGAGCCCAGCGCTGGGGGGGAAGGGGTGGTGGCAGCTCGTGTCCCAGGGCACGGGGGTCCCTTCCCTGTGCCCCCCCCCCCCTGTGGCAGGGAGGGGACAGCACGCCCTGAGGGCCGTCCCCTGTGCCGCAGAGCTGCGAGGCCATGTGGCAGCAGTGCTCGCTGCAGATCTCCAACGCCATCCAGTACGTGGTGGAGTTCGCCAAGCGCATCGACGGCTTCATGGAGCTCTGCCAGAACGACCAGATCATCCTCCTGAAAGCCGGTAAGGGGCTGGGGGGGGGATCCCCACCGCCCCCCTCGCGCCCTTGACACCCCCCTTTGTGTCCCCACTGTCCCCCCTCGTGTCCCCGCTGTTCCCCCTCGTGTCCCCGCTGTTCCCCCTCGTGTCCCCAGCACCTCTCCCGAGCAGCAGCCGCTGTGCCAAAGGTGTATCCCGTCTTTTCTCTGGTGCTTTCCTTTTGGAGCCTCCCCTCCCTGGCTGCCCCAGTGCTCCCGGTGCTGGGGGAGCTGCTGCTGGGCTGGGAGGAGCTGAAGGTCGTGTGTGAGGGCGGTGGGGCAGGGAGGGGATGTGGGGAGTGGCTGCCTCGGGCACAGGCTTTTTCTCCTGGTCACCCTCGCCTAAATGTCCTCCAGAAGCTGGGATGGAATCGAGCACAGCAGGTTTTCCCCTGGGAAAAGGGGTGCCAAGTCCACAGGGGAGCAGGGAGGGAGGAAAAGGAAAGGATTGGCCTCTTCTCCCAGCGAGAGGCTGGGAAGGGGAGGGTGAAGGCAGCACACACCCACATCCCCCACCCACCCATCTGCCTGAGCTGCTGGTGCCGTGCCCAGGCCGGGGACCTGAACGTGCAAAAGCCCCAAAAGAGTGGAAAAGCCTCCCAGTCCCTCCTCAGGGCTGGGGGGCTGAGAGCCTCACCCAGCACAGGGAGTGTGTGCCTGAGTCCCCCCAAAGCCAGAGCTGGCCGTGCCCCACACGCTGGAGTTTAACTCGTTCTTTCATTTCTTCCTCCCATTTTCTTTTCATTTATTTTGTTCCCACCCTCTCCTCTCTCGGTGCTCCACCACAACCTCGGTCTCTCTGCCAATGACTGGATAATATTTCCCTTCGGTGAAATATTGTGGTCACAATTGGAAACCTAAAAACAAAATACCAAAACAAACCCAACCAATCCCAAAACCCAAACCGGATTTGTTGGAATAACCGTTCTGCTCTTGGGAATGAACAATCTGGACTTCAAACGTGCACTGGGGGCTTTCCTCTTTCTTACATTTGGTCCTGGGATGATGGAAACCCCCTGACCCTCCCTGCCCTGCCCT